TCTTGCATATCTCTGTCTTCCTGAGAAACCACTTTGAAGATACCACCATGTATTACAGCAGTCATTGATATTTTCCTACTAATCTATCCATAACTCTGTAATGTTTGTATTGTTTCTATCCTATTTCATAAACGGATCCATGTTTATTATTACGTGTTTCCTACAAAAAAAAAAAAAAAAAAGGCTAGGTCAGGGGGACCGAGGGTGCAGTTCCCACAGGATACAAGTGTATGGCAATGGAGGTGTCTGCCAAGTGTGAGGGCCCAGCTCGATCCCAGCACTGCTTTCTTTCTGCCTACCTGTGTGGACAGCTATGTTAGGATGGAAACCTGTGTACCACTTATTTCAAGGGTCTCCCGGGAGGTCACGCCTGTGTCTCTGCGCCGGGGCAGGGCAAGAGAGGCGGAGAGCCCCGTGTGCCCCCCCAGGGGCTCAAGTTCCTCCAAAGGTCCATGACCCTCCCCCTAGAGCCCCTCCCCCTAGAGACTGAACGTTCTGCTGGGGAAATGACTGGAGATGTGACCAGGCAGTTGCTGGTTTTAACTGTTCTTTAGATGTAATAAAACTCCTAATAGACCTGTGGAGGCCACCTCTAAGAGCTGCCACTGCTCACAACTTTTATTTTGGTGATGAACATCCTACTCACATTAATACTACTACTAAGTACTGCGTGCTTCATGTCAGGCCTTGATTTGCACCATCTCACCGATTTCTAATCCTAACGCTACCCCATGTATAGATACGACTGCCTTTTAGAAACCTTGAACCTGAGGCACGAATCAAGAGACTGAATATTCTGGCACAGGTTAAACAGGTAAGCAGTGAAAGAATACTTACCGCGAATACTTAATACCCTGGTTTCTGTTTGTTTGCTGTTTTCTTAGGGAAGCCTTGTAATCTTTGGAGAGGAAACAGGACGGTTGTTGAGTGTTCAGTGCATAAGATGGGACCAGAGGGCCCACTCACACATTTGGCCCCTAACAGTGGCTGTTTGCTTTCACACTGTAAATGGGCCGTCAGAGGAAAACCACCAGTATCTTTTAACATCATTTATCTCTGATTCTGACTTTTTTCCTTTTAGATTACTCCTGTCTGGTTTTCTCAAGTGTCACAAAGCATTTGCGCAATGTCCTGGGCTGCTATGACACCCCCTAGGAAGAAGTCTGAGGACAACTTGGAGAAGGACAGCTTTCAAGAACAGTCCGCCCTCACTTTGATGAAGCAAATCGGATGGAAACAATTCGTTCAGATCGAGGCATCCGACAGACGTAGGCTCTGCCGCACAGCCGAATCCTCGGCCACCCTGCTGCTCATCCGGACTCCAGGCCTCCTGCGAGCAAACCAGCGTGGGCGCGCCCTCCCCGGCCTGGGCCGTGCAGGCTGGAGGACGCCCAGGAAGGAGCAGGCCAGGCTGGGCCAGGGTCTCCCGGGAGGTCACGCCTGCGTCTCTGCGCCGGGGCAGGGCGAGAGAGGCGGAGAGCCCCGTGTGCCCCCCCAGGGGCTCAAGTTCCTCCAAAGCTCCGTGACCCTCCCCCTAGAGCCCCGTGTTCCCCCTCCAGAGCTCCTTGTTCCTCCTAGAGCCCCGCGTCCCCCCC